TGATAAATTTGATATGAAAAATTTATATTTAATTTATATTTTTAACTGAATATAATATGTTCAATTAAATGTGAAATCAAGAAATTTAAGAATTGTTCGTTTAGTGAAACAAAAATCAAAAAAAAGAAGAAAATTAAGAAAAGCTATATTATAATTGAAGAAAAAGCATATAAGATTTGTAAGATTATTTTTAGTCATTTAAAAATTTTTAATTTTTACAATCTTCAAAAAGTTTCTCAAATTTTTATTATAAGATTATTTATCGATCTATTCTTTCTTCTTACAAATATCAAACAGGTATTCTGATAGTATTTAGATCGCAGATAGAATTAGAATCTGTGATGCTTGCGTATTTTTAAAATTGATCGACAACCAATTCCTCATTCCTGATACAATAACATTTCTTGTTTTCTCTTCACGAATTCTATTTTATTTACGAGCTATTACTTACGAGTTGTGTAAAATTTCAATATTGAATTTTCAATAAAATTTTTTAATGTTTTTCATTTTTTATTATGATTAGCGAGAGAAAATTTTTTACACATATATCACGAAAATATATGTTAGATTTTCCAAAATTTTTGCACTTAAATTCTTAAACAAAAAAAATAATTGTAAAAAACATTGCAAATTTATTATATCGTCCATTATAATATCCAATATTTGTAACTTCTTTATTTAGCTATATTTTATTATTAAAATTATGACTCAATGGTTCAATTTTATCGTTTAAGTCATTTTTATTGAACGAAATGTCACGAAACGTTTCCTTTTCCTTTCCTCGAGTCGTCATATAACATCAACTATGTTCTCATACCCACATAATGTGATCAACGCATTAGCATACGTGATATTACATCAAAAGTGACGCTACATTACACCTAACCTTACTATCTATTTTTATTCGAGTTCGAGCACGACATAAAAATTTCTAAATGTTGCTATTATGCAAACAAGAATATTCTGTTTGTTGCATCATCAAAGATACGTTTATTTTAGTGAAATTTAAATGTACAAGAAATACAATATTCAGAATTTGAAGAATTATTTTTTTAAATTAAAAATCGTATCATGTAACTGTGAAATTTAGAGTAAAGATAATGGAAATTAGATTAGATTTGAATTATTAGATGAAATCGAATCATTAATAAAATTATTTTAATTTCTTTGAAAATGATTCCAACCAAAGTTTGATTCAACAAATTTAATTTTTTGTCCATTTTATCTATTGGAAAGTGAGGTTAAAATAATTACAATTAAAGTCTTTTGTATCGATATAATTTCTTTCTGATTTATTAATTTTTCACGCCATTGTCAAATTGTTCTTTCAATTTTTTCGAAATCGAGCGGATTGGCAACAATGATCACAATCTTGAATATGTGGCATTAAAACGACGATGTTTAATTCGCGGCACGCCGAGAATAGAGGGAATATGGGTCATTGGCATAGGTGGTCAGCATCTATTTTCGCCTGTTTGTCGATTCGCCTCTCTGGTCTATCCATTGCTGACCTTTCTTTTCACGTTTGTTATTCCTTCAGATTGTGATATCCGGTCGCCATATTACCACATCATCTTAACTGAATAATCCTACTAAACAAATTACCGAGCTCTTTTATCAATTGAGACTTTAATGAATTAATCAATTTTTATGATAAAATAAATTAATCGTGAAACTTTTGATTAATTTAATCTCTAAATTTTTATTGTAAATTATATTATTTACATTCATAGTGTTTACCTTTTTTAAAAAATTTCTAAATATGATGAATGATTTTGTTTTATATTTAAAAAACATTATTTTGGTCTTAATATATTTTTAAACATTACCAAGTAAAAACTTAATATTTAATCTTTTAATCGAAGAAAATAAGAAATCATAATAAATTAATTAATTTCTAAAACTTTTTTAATTAATTAAATTAATGGATTTCCAATTTTTTCCAATGTCATATAATTTGTATTAAAAATAAATTTTTATATTTATAATTATTAATTTATCTAGATTGACTTTTAATTTCATGATTATTGAGAATTCTGATTAAACAATATTCTTTTCAACAAATTATTATCATAAAATTTAACCAATATTAATATCAATATTATTAAATATTATTCAATAATAATTTAAATATTTCATATCCTTTCTCGAAAAAAAAAATAATCATCATAAGAAAATATATTGATAAATTGCAATTAAGAAATGAAGTTAAATATCGCTTAAAAAAAAAAAAAAACAAAAAAAAGTGAGAGACAGGAAAAGGAGATCGCCATGAGATTCGATCGATACGAGCGACCCTGACGGTCATAGTGAATACGAAGCTAAGACGAGGTCTCACGAGCCCCATAAGGAAACACATCTCGATCCCTTGTTGTTCCTGCGATTTCTCTGGTTCACCTCGTGCAAAAAGGAAACGTGTCGTCTATGAAGAACCCGTCGGATGACATTGGCCGCAAGTCGGTGTTTTGCTTTCGTTCCACTTCTATCTTGCTTTTAGAACGCACGAATTCGTGATTTATTTAACCATTAAGTGGCACGGGACACGACTTAATAATAATAATAATTCATGGATCCTAACCTATCTAAATTTTATACTTTTCGTATCTCAGAGAAGAATTATTTAAATATCTTATTTATAATATTAATGTTCAATAAATTGATAAATTAAAATATATAATATAACGTATTCAGTGATAAATAAATAAAATGAAAATTAAAGTTATACATAAAATATACAAAGATAATAAGTATATAAAGATCTTGTGATTTATAAAAATACTAAATTTATTGGTAATTTTATATAAGATTTATCTAATTAATATACCATAAATGTTCATGTATTTGTGAAAAATCTAAATATAACAAAATAAAACATAAAAAAAAAAATAAGGTATAACTTATGATAAAGAATAAAAATTATTATTTAAATTTCATTCTTTTAATTGTTAATTCATAAGAATTTCAATATACACAACATCCGTATCATTAATCAATTATGCATTTATTATTTTGTTTTATGATCTTCTACCATTTTTTGATCAAAATAACGTTAATAGTATTCATAAGTGGAATAACATTTGCACACAACTTGCGTTCTATAACGAGCGATGACATACGAAATAAGGTCGCGTAAGATGAACCATTCAAAGGCAAAATTATGAAAAAATCGCGATTGCACTTATAATATCTAAACGCGATTTAACCTTTAACTTTGTTGTTAACTAGTTTTAATTGCGTTTCATCGATTGTAAGTCTAAGAGAAGATTAAAATTGCGGGTTTTGATGTATGCACGAAGTGACTTTGTCAGTCTGTTCGCAGTATTCGTTGCAAAAAAACGCGTTGCATCATCTAGCAAGAGATCACGCTCGGCCTCGAGAGGTTATTTTCCACGAGAAGACGATTTACTTACAATGTTTTCTTTCAAGCACGATTTAGGAAATGTTTTGAACTTTAATTGAGAAAATATGTTCGCATTTGTTGGTGTTGAATTGCCATTGTTAAGTTTTGAATTAAGAGTGATTTTAAGATTATTTAGATATATTTAACCTTTGAAAGTTATATACTTTATAACATGTAGATTATGTATTTTATATTTTTTAATCTTCATTATATTTATTTATCACTGAATCACTTGAAATTTTACACTATTGTTATATTAATATATACATATCTATTTATAATAATTATTAATTCTTGAATATTATATATCTTAATTAAAGTTATTTCTCCTATATCAGCAAATGAGAAATTTGTTTAGAATACCAATTTGCATGATTCAAACAATGAATATATAATTAAGAATATGAAAATGAAAAATTTGATGTTCTAAATATTAATTGGAAAATTAATTATATATATCCAGTATTAAGTAGAATGTAGATGAAAGTATTTTATATAATAAGAAAAATGATGTGTAAGTATCAAATATAAAAAAAATTTTGAAAATGTGAATCTATTGTTCATGTAGAACAAGCTCAAAACAATTGCAGTAATAAAATGAGTAAAATCAATATTAAATTTAGACGAACCATGTGCGATGATTGATTGAAAAAAAAATAGAAAACCACTTGATACACGTGTTTACGCGACGCCTACTCAATTATTCTTGACCTAGATATGAGCAAAGGGCGGGCTTAGCAAATACTTCTTTTTCTTCGATTAGAACACTGCCCTTTCATGAAATGGATACCGATATCACGCAAGCTTTTTATTTATGATTCGTTCACATAATGGATATTTCTATCACGAGATAAAACCAATATACATATGAATAGATTTCTATTCATAAATTTATAAAGATTAATATCTAATCTCAAAGTAATATTTGAAACAAAACTAATAAGCATAATGCAATTTTCAAATCTTTTATCATCAATTTTATTGTATACTGTGAAATTATCAATGAATATTTTTATCTTTTCATTGTTTTATTTTTGATTCGATAAAGTTAAATAGCATTTTTTGATTCGCATTTCAATTAAATTGAAAAACAAAAGAGTCTCAAAGATGCATTTATTATATGTATTATAATAAATTGATAAATCAACTTATTATACAATATTGCATGTAGAGTTATTTGGCATACTCTAACTGATGAATAAACATCTTTTTTTTAAAACAAAAGTTAATGGAAAAAGCTACTTACAAATTATACGCTCAGTTTTATTTTATGTTCCTCTAAACATCTCTTTCAAACAATGCAAGAGGGAAATTAAATCTTTTCATTTGAGAACCTTTGAGAAATGATAATGCCACACATCCAAATTGATCTCGTGTTAAAATATACAAGTTTGTTATTATTAGTGATTAAACTTCATGATAAGTTAAAAGTCTTAAAAGTCAATGATATTATACATCTTTTAGATAAAAAACATTATATAAACTATACCTTTGGTTGTGGTAGAGAGAGAAAGAAAAAGCTATGCAGCCATCTTTGTTAATTGATGCTGCACTACACACACAAATTTAATTATCAGCAGTATGTATAATAGTAGTTTTTCTTAGTTACAGTATTTGTTGCCATTTGTCATTATTTGACACACAAATATAGATTATAGAAATTCGATTTTCTTTTTTCGTCATCAGTTTTACATTGTATCACGTTTGAATTGATCTTATGCTGATATTTAATAAGATCATAATAGGATAAAAAATGTAATTTTTTCATATTAGACACACAGTTTTGTTCCACTTCTCTAAATAAACTAGAACAGAAAATGGCAAAATCTTTTAGAATAAAAAAGTTAACGCTTGTTGACAGATTTACATATAAGCAGTGAGAAATTTTAATGTAAGTTCTTTTCATATACTAGTTTGAAGTCTATGTATCGCGTCATACAATAAAGACGATCGCTTAGTGATTCGTAAGTCGTAATCAGAATTTCCAATTCAGATCTTTATCACGACATTCCTTTATTTGTGCAGCTTTCGTCAGAAGTCAGGTGCAGTCGTGGCATACCGATATCTTGTCGCGTGTCGCTTCTTTCGTAACCGATTTCCGCGTTCACGAAACAGGAAACAGGAAAAACGAGAATAAATAGAATTGCACTCTATTTTCTTTGATTCGCGAAGAAAGGGAAAACTTTTTTCCACGTGTCGTTCTTGAATTTCAATTCAATCATTTGTGATATTTATTCAATTAAATTTTTGATCTTTAAGATCTTTGAGAAATTTTTTATACGAAATATAAGAATTCTATTATTTTTTTATTATTACTTTTTAATAAATACATAGAATTTTATTGCTTTCAGTTATTATTAGTAATTTTTTATTTTTACAATCCCAATATAAGGATTTATTTTTAATCTAAGTTTTAATTCAAGTTGTTTTAAAATTTAATAATTGTAATCATTTAACGAATTTATAAATAATTTAAAAATAAATTAACAATTTTTCTTTAATGATTAACGCAGGAATTTTTTTTTTTAACAACAAATTGGCGACGATATTTTTGCTATTTTTTTCCCCCGGACACGCCTCTATTTTTAATTATTGTGATCATTCTTCGAATGATAACGAAAAAAAAAAAAAAAGAATAGAAGCAAAGAAAAAGAAATTTATGGATGAACGATGGTATAGATAAACAAGATAGAGAGACAAGAGAGGAAATTAGAAATGGTTGTTCGCGAATGGACCACGAAAATCATAGAAAAAAGCAAAAGGATGATCACGGTGGCGGCGAGCGAAAAGTAAAAGGAGGCCAACACAGTCGCGATCACGACTGTGAACCATGAAAATGTGTATGCACGAAGTGCGCAGCAAAATAAAGTGTTTCGTAAATATAGAAAATATATATAGAATACTTAAAATATTTTTCTTTAACAAGTCAATCGTTGATAAAATAGATTTGAAATGTTATTAAAATGCTATTTTAATTGGATTTTAGATCTATCAGAAAATTAATTTTTCATACAAAGAAATATATTTAACTGTTAATAAATTTTTAAACGTATCTTAGATAATGCATCTAGATAAGATAAATGGGTTCTGTACTTATTTAAAATCACATAAATTTCATTATAATTATTTAAATTTAATTAAATTCGTTTTTTCTTTTTAAAATGAAAATTGATGTGTAAAATGGCATTGAGTTGAATCTAGTTTAGTATAATTTCATTGTCTATGCAACTTTTATCTCGCATGGGCCTATTTTTTATTCTGTTTTATTTTATCACTATATTATTGATAACTGAGTTATAATAAAAATAATACATAAATCACGCATAAAATAAAAAATTAACTTTTAAGAAATCATATATAATTTTTTTTGAATTATAATATATATTTTCATCGTCATCATGTGAAGATCCTTAAATCTATTACTATAAATGTCTTAAAGCCTCACTTAATGTGAAAACATCAAAAAACTAATATATCATATCGGAATTTTAGAGAATTAATATCAATAAGAATGGACAAAATTAAGAGAAAATGAATAAATGCGAAATAAATAAATTTTTCTTTGAAAAAATGCAAATTTTTCTTTAACTTTCAGTTATTGAAGTTGATATAATTCTCAGAATTTTTTCTGCTATTTATAATTGAGCTCGTTTGTTGTTAATAAAAAATTAAAAAAAAAAATTTGGCAACTCAAGAGTATGTAGATAATAGATAATAAAATTATATAGACTATTTATGCCTCTCTGTGTTATCTATGATAATGATAACGTGATAATTTTATGTAGAAAATTTCACAAAAATTTAATTTTTGTACGGAATGATTCTTGGAATTATCATTCATGGAGCTCGTCTCGATTTCAGTAATCCAAGCTGCAAGCGTTTCGTTTTTTTTGTTTCCAAGAAATTTTGCTTTTGCTTTGTACGTGACTTAGATCGTTAGATCGTTGCAGATAAAATAATGGTTGACGGTGTTTTGATGAAAAACTTTTAAACTTTTATAACCTTTTTGTACAAATTAAATTAAAATTAATAATAAATTGAACACATGCTGATTTTTGTAGGTTATAGTTACTACAATTAAAAAAATATTTTTATAATAAGTCTTTGTTAATATTACTAATAATTATTAATATTATAATGTAATTTGTGAAAAAAAGAATTCTTGTCAAATTCTTGTATGAAATTAAATTTTTCGTATCGATATTAGATTATTATTTTTTTTTTTCGAAATCTGAATTTTATGAGCAACTTTTACGTTGTTGCATGGAAGTTTTTTTTTTTTATGAGCAACGTATTGGAATTTAATGTTGACTCATCGTTCGTTTCGATAAACAATCTGCCCGAAACATAATAAACGGTGAAAAAAAAGACGAAAATCGAAAGATATCTGAAAAATTTCAAACTTTAAATATATAACAAATATTTTATTTAACGAAATACTTAGTCACTGAATTCCGAATGATTTTATGATATAACATCGTAGAATTCAAATATTTTATTTTACGTAAAGATATGATATTATAAAATAAATAGTAAAACGAAAAATTATTAACACGATCGAAAAGCGAAATTTCGAAGACATGAGCATGAAAAAATTCAATAATAAAAGTTTTTAATATTTCTTCTTTTTCTGTATCTTCTCTATAAGATAAAATATCATAAGTAAAAAAAAATCAACGTGATCGAAAGGCGGGAAATTTGAAAATTTAAAAATGTGAACATTCGAGAATTCAAAGAAAAAAAAAATAAATAAACAAAATTTTTACTTTCGTTGTTCTTATAATAAAAAATGTAAACACAAAAACAAATTTAAAGTTTCGAAAAATTCGAAACTGCGAGTAAATCTTTAAAATATTACGCGTTTACTGCGTAACGCAGAGGCTCGTTATCTCGCCGTGTTTCCTAACACTTGGCGAAGAATTTTTAGCGTTATTTACACATCTTGCATGGTCCATGGTAAACATTGGCCGTGGCAATTTTTGTCTCGTGTGCTCGTGTTGTAGGCCACGATGCACTTTCATCGCACGAGCGAATTGAAAAAATCGCCGACTCGCCGATTATACAATTCTTCGCGATTATCGCCAATTAGCATGAATAATGGATAGTTTTATATTTGTATTTCGCGTCATAAACTCGAAGCTCGTCCTTCGTTTCGAGTTTTTACGATTAAACGAACTATTTGCCTCTAAATAATCTTTATGATATTTAAAAATATATATCTTGGTTGTATCTTGATTCGTCAAATTTTTACATAATTCTCTTAAATCAAAGTTTTTATTTGATAATTTGGTGAATAATAGAGAGAAGCTTATCATTAGAGAAAATTTGATATAAATAAATTGTGGATATTTATACAAATTTATATATATATCAATTTCATGAATGCAATTAAAAGAATAAAATCTAAATGAAGATTTGTTTCGTCTTAATATTATAACAAGAATTCTAATTTAAATATTTTGTATATTTTTACATGTTATGTCTATCCTATATTTTTTAATATAAATATAAATTTCTTATAAATACGTAATCAACAGTTTAAGTTTAAATGGAAGTGATGGAGTTTTTAAATTGAAAAAGAATTAAAATATTTTGTTATATTGTAAGAATATATAAATATAAGAATTAATTAAAATTCTTAGAAAACATATTACAAAACCAAAAAATTTAAGAAGCGCTGAGAAGAGTTTAATAAGAGAAAATAAATTGAATAAAAAAAATTAATAAAATCGAATCAAAAAAATCAATTACTATCTTCGAATCTTTTTTTTTTTATTTTATTTACAAATTTTCCGTTTTCTTGTATTAAAGGTTTATTAAATAAATGTAAAAAAAAAAAAAATCTAACAAATTTCTTCCGAAACATACTTTTTAATTTCATTTTTATCTTTTCTCGTATATCAATATTTGTAATGTCGTATTTTATGTTGATTACAAACAAAATTTTTTTTACGAACTCTCGTCAATTATCAAAAAATCTTAGAAATTTTTATCTCACTTACTTTTGAAAAATCAGAAAAATAATCGAAATCTTTGAAATTTTCTTATTTTTAAAAAATCAGGAAAAATCGCATTGTGTTAACAAAATTTTTCAAATCTTCGATTCATTCACTTTTGAAAAATCTTCGATCGAAATCTTCAATCTACTTACTCACTTTTAAAAAATCGGAAAAAATCTTCGTAATCATCGATATAATATTCACTTTTGAAAAATCTTCAAGATTTTCGATGTGTTTGATTCACTTTTGAAAAAATCATCGATATATATTCACTTGTAAAAAAATCGGGGGGAAAAAAATGGTTTTGTAAACAATATTAAAATTTTCCAAATCTTTCGATTTATTCACCTTTTTGAAAATTCGGAAGAAAACTCGCGAAATTTCTCGTCGATTTCATTTACTACTCACTTTCAAAGGAAAACCGTTGACTTCGAAAGATGGAAGATGTCGCCTCTAGGCTCACGGGGTGCGCGGATTCCAAATGGACAACCGGAAGAGAGTTTTCAAAGGAGCTTCAGAAATTTGGGTGGCGCGATGCGCAATGATATTAGGTCCAGCGCGATCCGCTCGCAATAGGAGATGGTCAGAAACTGTGCCAAGAACAGTACGTCGCCGTGGCAGACCGCGAAGTTGTACACCTACGATGCGTATATACACCTACACCGGTGGCTAACCAACACAGTATTGCCACGGCGATCGGTTGCCGCGGAACGGAGCGAAGAGAAGAGGAGTTGATCGCTGTTACATCGAGTTTTTTTCTTCGATTTGAAACGAGGAAAGTATTATTATTAATATGTGAAACGAGAGATGGAAGAATCGAGAAGATGCGATATTGATACGCGATTAGAATTTTTAAGTTAAGGTTAAGTAAATAAGAGTGGACGAGGTTAGGAACGAGAACGTTGAATATTGGATGAATAATAATAAGATGGAAAGAAAAAGTTAAATTTATATTATGATTATTTCGTTGATTTTAATTATATTCAGAATTATAGAGAAATTAGTAATTTGTATGTGGAATTAATGATCTTAAGTTTTTTGTTAAGTTTTAATTTCTTGTTTCTTTTTTAAATATATCTTTCCATGTTTTAATTTTTATTTTATTTATTAAATTTATTTTTATGTCAATTCTAATGTATGTATATTTTTCTTCACAATTCACAATATAAATGAGCAAAATTATAAATTCTTATAAAATGATAATTTTCTTATATCCATACGAAATATTCAAAATTGTTATTTGTATTGTCTACATATTACATAATAAGTAAAAATTTGTTGTTATTTACAAATAATACTTTTTATCAGTATTAGAATTAAGGATGATCGAATGAAGAGTTTGTTAAAATAAAAAATAAGAGAAAAAAGAAAAGTTGGAAAATTTGAAAATTTAAAAACTGAAAAGATTAGAATAGATAAAATAAAAGAATTTAAATTGAAGAATTTATAAATCTTAAAATATATAAACGAATAAAAATATTCGAAAGAAAATTAAAAAATTTTTTCAGAATTTTTTCAGAATTTGAAAATCTAGAGTTTAAAAATTTTACATTACATAAAAATTAAAAAGAAAAAAAAATAGCTTAAAAAATATAGAAATTAATAATTTTTAAATTTAAAAAATTTTCTGATTTATAAATTTATATACGATATAGATGTATAAAAGATTTAAAATAAAACTTAATTTTGATAATCTATGAAAGTTGGAAATAAGATATTTATAAAATCTATTTAAAAAAATAGAAAAGGAAATAGAAAATCGGAACGATTAAATGGTGGTTAAGGAAGAGCAAACAGGAAGTGCATTTAATTAAGTATATTTATTAAGTTTGTTGAATGGCACAATAATGAGATAAAAGGGCGATTGAATTGAACGAACCTCGTTTGTGAAGATCATCTAAATTAAACCAATGTTTGAATAAATTTGAATTTTATGAAAATTAATGAGATCTTGAATCTTGATCAATTAAAAAAAAAAAAAGCACATAATTACTTTTAATCAAAATTTTGTTAACGTACAATTTTACTAATAAAATCATTATTGATTAAAAAAAGATATTAATAATAGCAATGCATGGATTACAAAAGATCCAAAATAAGGTTATCCAATAATTAATATCACAATGTGAATATATGTATACAATAAAGATTTTATTTTTTTTTTATCATTAATTTATACTAAAAATAAAAGAAGTTTGGTAAATATTTCTGAAAATGTATCATTCCTTAATCTCCATGAATTTTTTAACGTGTCGTCAAGATCATCACATTGTATAGTTTATAAAAATTTTATATGGCGTTATATATATATTAAAAAGTTACTAATCCAAACTCTAATAATAAACCATAAAATTAAATAAATTTTTGTTCGACATCAATTAATCTATCGTTAATTCTAAATTTCATTTCATCACAAATCAAAATTAAACGAGCTAAATAACTGATTTAATTCGCATTGGCAATTTCTTAATCGTAACCATCAATTGTCTGTAGCAATAAGCTAAAACTTGATCTAAAACTATTTCGAGGAAGAAAACATTTTTTTTTTAATAACTTTTTAATATGACGAATCGAGTAAAATCTTACTCACAATATTACTTCAGGATTTTTCGTGAATAATCGTCGAAAATTTGATATATCATGTGAATTTGATATGGACAGATTATTGGTATAAAAAAGATTTCTTTAAAATATATTTCATTTATTATTTTGAATTATTAAGAAAATTTAACAAGTATCATTAAACGAATCGCCGTTGAGTAAACGTTGTGTTACTTATAAAATAGCAAATAGTAAGGTTAAGCAGTATCATCATCGTTAAGAAACGAAATAAATAAAATTCATTCACGATAGGCGTTTCGCTTCTTTCAAAAGATAAACAATTATTCTTGTAAAAAAAATCGAACGCCTTTGAAGGAAAAGGAAAAAATATTTTCTCTAATAATTATCGACATAAATGTCAATTTGCGTAACATTTATTTC